TCCCACTGCACTATTCGTATAAGAGTAGGGGGAAACCCCGGTGTAGTGGCCACCGGCACACACCCCCAGTAAATATCCATGGGTCAGTGCATCCTTGTTGTTGGTGTTGTTGTCATTAGGCAATTTTCGCAAACTCTTTGCGGAAATAGAATCTGCGGTTCGTGTGCAAAATCGAGAAGATACTATAGTAACAGTTGGATGACCGCTGAGGCCCTGAAATCTAGATCGGGTTTGGGCCAAATCTACGGGCGTTCTCAATGACGCCCCAAGTGAATGCCTCGATACAAACTATTTCATTCACCTGATAATAATAATAGTATTTAAATAGACATAATCCAATCTGCATACATTAGTTGTTGCCACACTGTCTTAATACATGCAGTTTGCATTCTGACTATTGCGAATCCTAGACAGGTGAATGAAATAATTTGTATTGAGGAACTTTACAAAGACGTATTTATTAAATTTGATTACATTACGAAAATGGCCTGTTCCCTTCCACGCTATACAGTACAGACGGGACTACACGACTAGCACAACAGTTGTCTCGACCAAGCCACAAAACGGCTTTTTATCAAATTTCAATAATAATTTATCATCAAGTTTTAAAACAATTCATGTTATATCCATATTCATGTTGTTATTGTTCAGAAACAATAATCGGAAGAAACAAAGTTCACCGAAGAGTCATTCGTGTCAGGGGCGGATCTAGGGGGGTTAGGAGGTTTAAATCCCCCTTGGGCTGGCCAAGGTGCTTTCTACCCCCCCCCCCCCCCCCCCCCGAAATATTGGTTGGCACTTTTTTCAAATTAAAAACAAATTTTAGTGCTACCTACCCCCACTAAGCGAAATATTGGTCGGCGCGATTTTTCAAATGTCACCCCCCCCCCCCCCCCCCCCCGCCCACGCCATAGAAAAGAAGCTAGATCCGCCCGTTAAAATTCGTCATCCTTCGTTATTAGACGACGAAATTCTCATAACCATCTTTGGTACAAGCTCGCTGATTGGCTGTTTATTAATTCACTTGGGGCGTCATTGAGAACGCCCGTAGATTTGGCCAAAACCCGTTCTGGATTTCAGTACCTCAGCGATCACCCGAGTGCTGTTACTATAGTAGCTTCTCGATTTTGCACACGAACCGCAGATTCTCTGTCCGCAATGAGCTTGCGAAATATCCCTAATGTTTGTCGAACTGGCAGCAACTAATGTATGCAGTTTGGATCTATTGAAGTACTATTATCCTTATCAGGTGAAAGAAATATTTTGTATCGAGGCACTTCACAAAGACGTATGCATTAAATTTGGTTACATTACGAAAATTGCCTATTAAAATTAAATGGCATTGCAAATGCAATACCTCCGTAGAGATACGTACGCATTCACCGAAAAGCGAAACCACGTATTGTATCGAGGGCGGTCTGTGTGCGATGGCTGTAAACCTGAGTGCTCTGCGTCCGTGAAGGTCTGTATGTTGTTGAGCGAAAACTCGCTATTAATGGCGTTTCCATCGTCATTGGATAAGAATAAGGGTATGTTTATGCTCAACTTTTTCTGGCCAGAATCAGGCATCTGTTACGCGTTTAGTTCAAAACACGGTTGCGTCCTTTTTCACTTTTGTAGAATCACCGAAAAACGGCGATCACGATCGCCGATCGTACTCACAAAAAGGTGCGTTTACTATTTGTAAACGCGTTTAAATGGGGTCAACGCACTGACCTCTAGTGGGTCTACGTAGCATGCACAGTGCAGGTTTGCGAATCCAGCTGCAAGGCCAATTAAGGCCACCCAGCGAGAAATGCCTGGAGGAGCCAGAGAAGTAAGCATAACAGTACACCGCGGAACTGCGATTACGATGAGCGTTTACGATGTGCGGCGTTTCAAATCGCTCATTCTGCCTTCAAAATTGAGCTTAAACGCACTATATAGTTGTATCTATTATTCTTATAAAGTTAAACCCCGTCTTAATTGAAAAATAAAGTCATTTTACCCCCTTCTAATTCAGACGCGTCAGTCGGGGTATAACGTCCGGACAATATCGAGGTAAATCATCTCAGGGGGGTGATTCACAAAGAATTGAAGTCGAACTTAACTCTAAGTTGGACTTAAATATTATGGAGAGCCATTTGTAGCCTTATTTTGAAATATATTCAAAAGCACAAATTCAAGTATTTTAGACTTTTCATAAATTCCACATCAAGAACATGAAATTTCCTATGATAATAGAAAATATAAATGATTTGAATCAACATGTTATGCCTTTTGAAATAACTTAATTTTTACAAAATGTTTTCAAAGATGCTAATGGCTTTTCATAATTTTTTTCTTACGACGGATTTATAGTATTACACAAAGAAATTGTTGAATGTTAATATCCTTTTCAAGTAAAACTGCACTGATGAGTCAGCTGCCTCTTCTTCCTTTTTGAGTACTGACCTCTTTACAGAGTATTATCGTACTATACTGGGGGTGTGTGCTGGGGGCCGTTTCTCGAAACCGTCATAACTACAAGATCAACGACATCTCGCCACTGTCGCGCAACTTGTCAGCTAAGTGTTTCACGAAGCCGTCTTTGCCAAGATGTGCGACAACTTCGGCGACAATGAGTTGTCACTGCTCCGAACCCGTCATATCTTTTTAATTGCTGTAAAGCGCCATCACAAGTCAGTTTGTTGCCATTCCATGGGCCGCGAAATGTACGATTAGTTTCACTATCATTTTGAGAAAAATATAGACGAGTTCGGTACGTAATTCTCTGGGATGCGAAATGCAAATGTACAAAAGTGAGAATACAAATTATACAGAAACTTTAAAAGCTGAATATAAACATTAAATCACAAATCATTAAACTATAACATATAAATAAGAGAGATAAGAATGTTACACACCGTTTTCCATAGTCGATCCATAGTCTTTTCTTAGGATACCGTCATACCTTTGGGGCCTATGTACATTATTATTCCCGCTCTAATTACTTCTTCCAAATTATATTTTTTATATCAAATCAATTATATAACGAGTATTTATGAGACTCTAGAATAAAAACTGGCTGAGAAAAGGTATTTTGCCTAAAATTCCTCGTCACAATAAACAAAAAAGTACGTATTGATAAACTATCACATTACGGGTATCCTTCAACTAACTTTTGATTCGACTGTCGAAAAAAAACACTCACCGGTTTTTCTTCAATTTAAGAATCTTTACAGAAATATGCAAATCGTTTGATGATCTACATTTGATAATGACACTATTTTTTATTTATTTTAGGAGAATTTATATGTATATATTTCTTTTTTAAACAATTTTAGCCCCAAAACTTGTTTTGGGTTATTCTTGATAAATCAAATGGATCGTGACAAAGACTATGTTCTTGAGCTGCTAGTATCGCGATATATCGATATCATGTCTGTCATGGCTTTGTGAAACGGTTTATCCACTTCATGACATCTCCGTAGGTCGCCGACAAAGATATGACTGTCATGGAGTTGGTTTCGAGAAACGGCCCCCAGGTCACTACACCGGGGTTATCCCCTAGACCTACTCTCATACGAATATTGCAGTGGGATCTTAACGTGCTAAGGTAGTGACCCTTCTCTACACGGGGCCTCCATTTAACGTCCTATCCGAGGAACGGAGTGTTTTCCACTGAACATAACCTGCATCTATGAACAAGGGAAGGGGCACGTTAACACATCACGCAGGCTTCAGTCATCCGCCTGGGTGGGAGTCGAACCCGGAATTTTTGGTTCGACAGGCGGACGCGGACGCTTACCGACTGATCCTACTCGCCTTCCTCCGTTAGAATATCTCGATACTTCGTTATAGTAGGATTGTTTTTACGAACTTCAATTACATTGATAATTATAAGCATTATTACGAAAGTTCACTCTAGTGAAGACGGGGAAATGATCTGAAAGATCTGATATTATAATACCTGAAGAAGGAAAAGGTTGCAAATTACAAAATATGTTATCAATAAGGGTAGATAAACCAGGGATATGTGAGTTACATATCCCTGGATAAACTATTAGTTACCCTTATTGGTTTTGTAATTAAAAGGACAACATCATATTTAAAAAAAGTATTATAATGGTCATTTTCATCACATTGAAGAAGGTTTATAAAAGGATAACATACCTCCGAAATAAACAGGATAGACTAGAGAGATATAGATCTAGATAAACAGGGGAAAAAACTTAGAAGAAGAGCTAGCTTTACATGGAGAAATCAAAATAAGGTAGTGCATATTAGGTATTTTTTATACTATTAGCCAAGCTATTATTACATTTTTTTTAAACAAAAGAACGAACTCGTACGCAATGAATGGAGCTCGGAGAAAATTGAAGACCGCCATCTGTATCTCCAACGTAACGGAGTGCTAGTGGTGCACGTTTGTTGAGGTCGTGTAACATGGTCTTAAAGTGTAACACGACTCCCTAGCTCCTGAAAAAATAGTCCCTGCGTTGCGCATGCGTACGTGGAGCTCGCAGACGCACTTTGTACTTTGAAACCAAGCTAGCTAGCAGATCACACAGCTGCGTTACTATCCTGGCTAGTGTATTAAAAGCTGTTCCATTGATTCTCAACATTTTAAACACCACTGTACAAATTCAACTAATTTCACTCAAAATCAGTACTTTAGTGATAATTAATGACAACTAAATAGCAGTAAAATATAATATTTTTAACTTGCCGATGTTAAAAAGAATAATTTAAAAATTCAAATTGTAAGTCTACTGCCAAACTTTCCGGTCAACAACATCGGCATTATTGTGTGGATTTGTGTGTCAAGAGTGTATTGACTATTCATGTGTGCAAATGCTGCCTATTAACACGTAGTGCAGCGCTAGAGGACCGGTTATTACGGATTAGCATTGACTCTCTACGCTTCGCCTGATCGAGTGGCTGCAGATCAACGTACAGTATCAACGATTTCAACAAATTCGACATTTTTAAGGTAGAGACTGATAGTAGGCCTAAACGGAGATATCAAGTAGACTCTATCATGAATCGTCTTCGCTTACTAGTAGATCTACTAGACCTATTGCTAGTATTGCTAGTATTGGTGAATGAGTGTCGCCGGTGTCGAGAGCGGCAACGATGGTGAAGAACAGCCAGCGCCACGGGGGAACCGGGACGGTGACCAGACGACCGGCTACGGAGGTGACAGGCGTGCCAGTGACAGTGCCTGTGAGACAGAACCTGGCTGAAATTGTGAGTAGTCTAGGCCTAGGCCTAGATCTAGGGTCTATATGCTATTACTTCTTACTGAGTGTAGATTTTAACTTGTGTAATGTTATGAGCTGAAGTTATGCAGAACTCCTAATTTGAATATAACTTACACCTGTACTGTAGACTATATGTGCTCATTGTTAAACAGCCATGCACATTCATTCAGAAGCAACCATGCAGAAAGCACTCTTGGCACACAGAGTGTGTGATGTATTTAATGAGTAATTAGCCATGCACACATTCAACCCTCATACACTATTTTTGACAACTTTTAAGTGGAAATTTAAAGCAGAAGGGCTGCTTATAACATTAACAAATAAGGAGTGCGGTATCGTGGCAACCAGTGGCAGTACCAGGCCAGCTGGGCTGAGCTTAATTAAAGTTAAATAAAACTAAAACTAAAAGCCGTCTGCATTAACTAGTAGACCCCCTACTGCTTTCAAAGTGGCTTCTATCAGATACCGATGAAAATACTGATTGAATTTTCCTTATGTAAACAAAGGTGAAACCGCCGTTTTCCCCCTGTCGCTTTCATACTGCTGGTGAAATTCACTCGCTTTGGCGAGCCCATGCCGGAAGTGAAGAATTATTACGTAATTATTAAGCCCGCGCCCCATCTAGCTGGCATGCAGCATGTTCAACAAAAAGTCAACAAACACAGCTGGTTATGATAAAGCGCGCGTAACTGCGACAGACCATTTTAATCGGTGTTTTAATCACTGTTCTTTTTCATCAGCTATTTAATCAGCTTTTTCTCCTCTGTAGCATTTGTTTCACTTATAATAACGAGACTTCAGACAAGATTGTACGTTCATAGTATCATGTTATTAAGCACGAGTATATAGCATGCGGTATCGATACTTGTGATCGGGATATCGGTATAGTCCTTCTTAACATCTGGCCAGTTTCTGTTTGCACCAAGTATGACCTTGGACCAACTTTTTCCTTGCAGACTCCTCGGCTGCACTCCAGGCCACGACTCTTAGATTGGATGCGGACTTGCTGTCCAATCTCTAGCTCAGGAAGAGGAGCTGCTGATCGATCATAGTATTTCTTGGCCAGCTGCTTCTTGTGGCTGATGTGTTGGGATACTCCATCTACGACATGTGGTTTGAGGAGCGCTTCAGGAGTAGGCAGTAGAGTGTTGGTTCGTCGTGCCATCATTTTCTGTGCTGGACTGGCACCATTATCATCCGGTGTATTTCTCCAATCCAGTATTGCTAGCTGGACATCCTCTCCTTGCTTTGTCGTTTTCTTCAGGAGTGTCTTAGCAATCTTCACTGCAGATTCGGCTTTACCATTGCTTTGTGCGTACAATGGCGAAGATGTGAGATGCTCAACTTCCCACTCTGCAACGAATTGAGCATAGTCTTTGGCAACAAATTGGGGCCCATTGTCCGTAATCACTTTGTCTGGACGTCCATATCTGGCGAAGTGGCCTTTTGTGCATGCCACCACTACTGGAGCCCTCGTGTCACCTGTTATTTTGTCTATTTCCCAGTAATCACTGTAGTGGTCGACAGTAATGAGGTAGTCTTCGTTCTGGAATGTGAAGAGATCCTGCGACACAATGCTCCAAGGCCCGCTTGGAATGTCGTGCGACATCATCGGCTCTTTCTGTTGTTTGGGCTGGAAAGCATTGCAGGTGCTGCATTGGGTCACCTTTTCCTTCACTTCCGACTGCATACCCGGCCAGAACAGGACATCTCTAGCTCGTCGAACACAGGCATCAACTCCTAGGTGACTGCTGTGCACCCTGTTTAGCATCAGGGCTCTCATGGCGGTTGGTACGATAACTTTCATGCCCTTGTACAGAACACCATTCTGTACTGTTATCTCGTCCCTGAACTGGTAATATCCTCTCACCACCACAGGCACTTCATCTCTCTGTTCAGGCCATCCATTCATCACAATGGATGTCAGAGTTTGCAGAGCTGGATCTCTCAATGTCTCTTTCTGCAGTTGTAGTGATGTGGCATCACGTATCCTGACATAATCTGTCTGGTTGATCTGTTCAATTTCAGCATAGATCCTGTCGCAACTCTCTGTGTCAGGCAGGAAAGCTCTACTCAACCAGTCTGCAATCAACATATCCTTCCCTGGACAGAATGTTAGCTCAATGTCATACTTTTGCAGTCTCAAAAGCATCCTCTGGAGACGTTTCGGGGCACTGTTCAAAGCCTTGCTGAATATCGGCACCAAGGGCTTGTGATCTGTCATGATTGTCACCTTCCTTCCCTGGATGAACTGATCGAACCGCTCTGCAGAGTACACAATGGCTAGGCACTCTTTCTCTATTTGAGCATAGTTTTGTTCAGTTTTCGTCAGGGCCCTTGATGCGTAGTAGACTGGCTGTCCATTCTGGAGTAATGTCGCTCCAAGCCCCTTCTCTGATGCATCGCACTGGATTGTCACCTCATCTTTCAGATCATAATACTTCAAGATTGGAGCTTCCGTCATGAGCTTTCGCAGCTGGTTGAGGGTTTCCTCATGGTCCTCCCTCCACTCGAAGTGAACACCTTTGTCAGTCAGCCTTCTCAAAGGCTCGGCTACATCTGCTAGTCTAGGCATGAATCTGGACAGGTATGTGACACTTCCAAGAAGGCGTTGAACTCCCTTCTTGTCAGTAGGAGCTGGCAGCTCCACTACAGCCTTCACCTTCTTAGGATCTGGTTTGAGACCATCACTAGTCAGTAGATGTCCCATGTATGGCACTTCTTTGAGGCGCAGCTTGAGCTTCTTCTTGTTCAGTATCAGCCCGCTCTCTCTCGCCCTTGCCAAGAACTTCTGGAGATTCCTATCGTGGTCTGCCAGGGCTTCTTCATGTGTCGCACCACTGCCGTATACCAAGAAGTCATCTGCCACAACATCAACACCTAACAAGCCTTCTATGATTTTGTGTTGCCGTCTTTGGAACTCTTCGGGAGCGGTACATATGCCGAAAGGCATCCTAGTCCATCTATAACGACCAAATGGTGTTGCGAATGTCGTCAGCAAACTGCTCCTTTCTGTCAGCTTCACCTGCCAGAATCCATCCTTCGCATCTAGCACAGAGAACACCTTCGCTTCTGCCAGCTTCGGCAGTATATCATCCATCGTTGGCATAAGATAATGAGGTCTCTTCAAAGCTCTGTTAAGATCTCTCGGGTCAAGACAGATTCTGAGTTTGCCTGGTTTCCTGACTAAGACGATGTTACTGACCCAGTCTGTAGGTATTGAAACCTTCCTCAAAATGCCTCTTTGCTCTAATTCGTCGAGCTTCAGCTTCAGTTCTCCTTTCAGAGGCACCGCCACCTTCCTGGCTAGGTTTTTTACTGAAGTAATGGATGAGTCGACCTTCATATCGTATTCACCCGGTAGGCATCCTAGACCATCAAAAACATCTGCGTAGTCATCGATGATAGTGTTGTCTTCCACCATATTGACTTCATGGTCTACATTCACTGTGATCAGTCCCATATCAATGGATGTCTTGCTAGACAAGAGGGGCATGTGTTCCACATCAACTATCTTAAACGTCACAACATGTTGCTTGTTGCCATACCTGCAAGTGTACGTTTTTTCTCCTAGCACTGGGATGATGCTGCGATTTATCAGTCTGATTCTGGACTTGCTCGGGGCGATGATAGGTTGTCCTGTATTCTCCAGTTCACACACCTGCCTGTAAGACAACACATTGCAGGTTGAACCAGTATCAATCAGGCACTTAACTCGTCCTTGCTGTTTACCATTTAATACCATGTCTAATGGTAGCGTCAGTTTCTTTCCACCATCATGGATATTCAATGATCCTACCTCTTCCAGGGCTAGTGCATCTTCATCATCACTGCTTTCTAGCTGATGAACATATGAGGACTTTATACCCCTTTGCGTACCGGCATTGCAGACAGTCTGGAAATGGTTTGCCCTGCCGCATTTACGACATGTTTTTCCATATGCTGGACAGTTATCACGGCCTCTTGAATGGCGTCCACCACAGAATTTACAGCCGTTCATCTCATCTTTCTGTGTAGAGAAACTCTTTCCATATTTCTTCCTGTCCATGTAACTATTGGTCTGCATTTGTCTTCCACCAGCGTTTCCTTTCTTATGCTGGCTCTGCGTGAAGTGGACAGATTCCTCACCTTTCACAATCCTCAGTTGCTGTTGAGATGACTCACTCACTTCCAGAGATGCAATTGCCTTCTTCAAGGTACAAACTGTATCTTGCTCCCTGAATAGTCGAGCTTGGGCTTGTTTATCTTTACACCCAAGAACCAGTCTGTCTCGTATCATCTCCTCTTCAAGTGCACCAAACTTGCACGCTTTGCCTAGTTGTCTCAGGCGCACCACATATTGATCAACACTCTCATTCTGCTGCTGACTTGCACTATGGAACACAAACCTGTCGTACAGCACGTTCCTGGCTGGAGCAAAATGTTCTGCCAACTTTTCGATGATTATCTGTGGATTCTTTCTGTCCTCATCACTAAGTGGCAATGTTGCTAATCTGTCCTTGCAATCCTGACCCATTACTGTTCTAAGGGTCGCCACCTGTACGATATCTGGCTTCTTATCAAGCTCTGTAGCTATGCGGTAGTCGCTCCAAGACTCCCCAAAGGCTTTCCAATTTGCTTCCAAATTGCCCTTGCAGCACATCGGCTGCGGTACCGGGATTTGACAAGACGCCATTTTCAATAGCTGGGACAGTTCAATGAAATCACAGCAATACACGTACTGTACTCACAAGTTCGAGGCACATTTTCAGCATTTCAAAGTGAATTTCCTCCTTCCATGTAGCACTTCAAATGTCAGCACAAGCTTCTTCTACGGAATTTTTTCCATAGAACCGACTTCTGACACCATGTTTCACTTATAATAACGAGACTTCAGACAAGATTGTACGTTCATAGTATCATGTTATTAAGCACGAGTATATAGCATGCGGTATCGATACTTGTGATCGGGATATCGGTATAGTCCCATAACAGCATTCATACTGGCCGTTTCATCGGATGGGTCCGGATGCATCCGATGAAACTCAGGCCAGTTAGAAAGGGGTATAGTTTGCCCTTTTTTGGCCTGGGGGGATTAGATTTAGACGAATCCGGGCAAAATCGGCTCAAAGACAACTCGGCCCAGCTGCAAAAACGGTCAGTTTTTTTCATTTTACCCTAGGCCTAACCCTACCTCTAGGCTCCAACTCTAACTACCTAATCCTAAACCTAACCATAAACCTAACCCTAACCCTAGAGGTCTAAACATATTTTCCTGTGTGAACGTCGTTTATATGATGTTCGGACAGATACAAAGTCGCAATTCATACGCCGTTCAAAGCAGGCAGAGCTTGACATTTTGTGTGTAGGTTATGTGTTTAAACTGGATGGAGCACGCGCTTTGTTTGATATGACCTGACATTCTGGCTTCTCCGCATCCGGTGTATTAACATTTAACAACATGGAATTAGCAACATACAGCTTGTGCTCGATCGTGTACTATTAATTATCCATGCGGCTTGTAAGGTTACTGTCTAATTTAATTTAATTTAATTAAGTTAAATGTGAATTGAAAACAAGAGTAAAAAAGGGTAATACAGGCATACATACATGTACATGTACATTATCTTAATTAAGAAGATGTCCAGGGCAGTCTATAATTGAAAGAATTTAATGAGAGGAAAATGAACTAGTATCTTGTCTCCTAAATAATAAAATAGTGCCCACCAATCTGCCTGATAGTAAACACAATGCGCAATGGCCCTACTGCGCATTTTAAGAGCAGTTAATCACGAAACGATCGCACCAAAAAAAAATTGTGCGAATGATGTCATATGTAAAGCTGATTAGTTTAAAGCTCTTTAAACTAATAAGCTTTAAAGAATTTTACTCGTGTGTGAAAAGACTGCATGTACAGTACAAGTGAATACCTAAAGATGAATTTTGACCAAAAGTGTGCAAGTATGTGCTTGTGTACATCATGCTTGTGTGTGTGTTGGGAAAAGGTTAGGGACACTTGCGAAATTCAGTAATGTTGTTGATACAGTGTGTTGTTTGTAAATTTAGTTTGGTATAGTATTTGATATTACATAATATTATTATTCTGCCCAACTTCATTTTCTCAGCATCCAAATTAACGGTTAGTTCCTTCAATTCAGCACAAAATTGAATGAATTTAAGTTCATTGTCAATCAGCAAAACCGATCAGGCTTGTTTTTCTACAATTTTCATTTACATGCATTATGGTATGGTATGGTATTTATTGAATCACTGAATTGTACATGAATATACATGTACATTGCATTTAAAAAACAAGTGAACAATAAACATAATTATAAGTACATGTACCTACATGTATATCACATGTTTACCGGTGTCCTTAATTTTGTACCATACCAAATGTAAAATAAAAGCAAAAAATATTATGAACAAGAAGGATATGTACCTACATGTGTAAATAAAATATTAAAGTGATGTAGAGAAAAGAGGTTAAAAGGAGAAAGAGTGAGAGAGAGAGAGAGAGGAGGAGGAGAGGGATGGAAGGAAAGTGAGGAAAAGAGAAAAAGAGGATAAGAGACAGAGAAATAAAGTGAAGAAAAAGAAAGAGCAGAAAAGACAGAGATGGAGAAAGAGAGAACTAGAGAGACAGGAAAGAGAGGGAAAGAAAGAGGAAGAGAGAGAGAGAGAAAGTGGAAGAGAGAGAGAGAGAGAAAGTGGAAGAAAGAGAGTGAGAGACGAGGTAAAGAAGGGGGAAGAGAGAGAAAGGCGGATCTTGCCAAGTGCCAACAATTAAAAATTACATACGAATCGATGTTAAAAAGATAAAAGTATGCATTGCAATACTATGAATAGTATTAATAAAATGAACAAAAAATACAATGTCAAAATTGTATGGCGCTCCTAAAAATCGTAGGTAAGTTAAATAGAAATGTATCTAAGATGAGAAATGAAAAAATGCTGACGGTAGTTAGTAGAAACATTAAAGGTACTGGTAATGCAAAGTTTTGGGGAAAATTAAAACTGGATGAATAGTAATTCTTTAAAATGTTGATATATATTTGGATGCCCCTTTGGATGTATTATGAGCACTAGAAAATGTAGTCTTTAAAACACTTCTGCTTTCGAGAAATTGAATAATCATATATTTACTGGTGCTCCCTGTAAATTTCAAATATTTCAAATAGCACCTAAGGCTATTCCATGGTAGCTGCGAGCATGAAAATCTCAGAATATGCAGTTCTGAATTTCTTATGAATAATTTCCAAACGGGAAGTGCAAATTTATTAATTGAAGTCAAGAAACATTGTTTTAAAGCTAAAGTAATATCAGTCTTGAGAGGGAGCTATCCAACATAAAGAGTTTATTATTTACAATTTCATAACTTTAGACTCAATTTCAACTGCGACAAAGATCACTGAATATTGTAAAATGGCATGCTTCCAATATATTTATTTGAACCAAATTCCTGACCGCATACCAAAACTTTGTATTACCTTTAAGAAAGTATAATATCAATAACAGGCTCCAAAGTGCCCATGTGGCAATAATTAGACATTGTTTACTTTTTTTTTAAATAATTCATGAGTGCCATTTACACTGTCTTCCAAACACGCCAAAAAATGCCAAACCGGAGCCTGACCGCGATGTTACTAAGGCAACTACGCTTTACCAATAAAAATGCCAAGCCCGAAACATTCCAAATCGAAGTGTGATCTTTTGGCTTATTTGGCTAATATATAAACGCTCACAGTTGTAACATTGTGATGTTAGGTCACGTGACTGTCATCCTTGAAGAAATGATAGAACGGTAAGAACAAAGAATAACATAAGAGAAGGTGATAGAAAGAAAATATAGAGAAAAACATAAGGAAAGACAGAAAGAGAGAGTGATAGAATGATATAACCAAAGAATAACATAAGAGAAGGTGATGAAAGGAAGAAACAAAGAATAACATAAGGAAAGACAAAATAATGAAGTGATAGAATGATAAAAACAAAGAATTACATAAGGTGATATAGAAGGAATAAACAAAGAATAACATATGAAAAGACAGAAAGAGAAAATGATAAAGGATGGATAATGGAAAGATAGAAGAGAAGAGGAAAGATGAAAAAACAAAGAATAACATAAGAGAAGGTGATAAAAGGAAGAAACAAAGAATAACATAAGGAAAGACAGAACGAGAAAGTGATGGAATGATAAAAACAAAGAATTACACAAGAGAAGGTGATAGAAAGAAGAAATAAAGAATAATATAAGAGAAGGTGATAAAAGGAAGAAACAAAGAATAACATAAGGAAATTCAAAAAGAGAAATCGATAGAATGATAAAACAAAGAATTACATAAGAGAAGGTGATATACATGTAGAAGGAAGAAACAAAGAAAAACATGAGGAAGGACAGAAAGAGAAAGTGATAGAATGATAAAAACAAAGATTACCGGTAACATAAGAGAGGGTGATAGAAAGAAGAAATAAAGATAAACATATGGAAAGACAGAAAGAAAAAATGATAAAGAATAGATCATGGAAAGATAGAAGAGAAGATGAAAGATGGAAAAACAAGCAATAAAATAAGGAATGGTAGGAAAAACGAAAGAAACAAAAAGTTCACTGGACTGCAGCAGCCACAGCATCAGACAGCTGATCGAAGGAGGTTTTTGCATCGGATTGCCGCTCATGCGCATTACCAACCAAAACACGCCAAAACATCACTGAGCTTTGTCAGTCGGTGATGTTTCCGCACAAGTGTAAACGGGTGCACGAAACATCGCGATTTTTCGAAATGAGGTATTTGACAATATATACAGTATATACATGTAGGTTTTAACTGTACTTTTTTAAAACATTCCTCAGGCTAGGTGATCCTAATTTGTATGAAGGACCACTGACTCCTTTGGGGACTAGCATCCCTTGCTCCCCCCCCCCCCCCACCCCCACCACACACATGACAAAAGTGCCCTTTGGTTTACTTTTTTGAATTTTGGAAAACTCATGGCAGGATTTTAATCAAACCTGGTAGGGGACATCCATGGGCAAATGAACTCTACATTTATTAAAATGATTAATTAGAATCAGGTTTTACAGTACATCCCCAAAAGGGGCCTGGGGTAAGCGCCCCCACAGAGCCCCTTTGTAAATAATTAGACATAGTTTTCTTTTTCTCTAAAATGTATGTACATGTATATATTTGGACTTAAGTTGTTTGGAACATTCCTCAGGCAGGGTGATGTGTAATTGTATGAAGAGCCACTGCCCCCCCCCCCCCCCGCTCCATTGGAAGGGGTCTTTGTAGTAGCAGCCCCCTCCCGTAAAAAAGCCCTCTGGTTTACATTTGTACTGCCTCTAAAAAGAAGGCATTGCCAGGAAGCTTTACAAGGGAGTTCTAAAGTTGTATAAATTTGAGAAAGGCCCCCAAGGATGTTTGGGGCAGCCTTCACTGCCCACCACCCAAACATGAAATAGCAATGCGAGCACTGCACACTTTAAAATGCGCGCACTTGTGGATCTTGAAAACTTAAACCTAAAGTTTCTGTAATAGAGAAATAACGATAATAACTATCTCAATATGTTTTATTCTTAAATTCCATTTAAATCAAGGATGTCTCTTCAAAATTCCTGGTTACCCTCATTTTTTATTTCATATTCTGATAGACCAAGGAGTGTTGAATTGATTTCAAAGCAAAAGCAAAGTGT